GTTTTGATAATGTTCCTTTAAACATATATATATATATATATATATATATATATATATATATATATATAATCGATATTCATGTGCAGAAAAATTGCTCTGACATTATTTAGTCCAGACGATAAATATAATTATGGTTAATATATAAATGAAGATATTTGCTTATTCCTCTAACCTGTTTTTTATATATAGAAATTAATTTATATATGAATATATAGATAATATTAATAACTTTTAGTTTAATTAAAAGCTTCTTCGGTTAATTAAAGAAAATTGTTACCTCTCTATACGTATATATGGGTAAAAAGTGATTTCAAAAATATTTCCTTCTTGATGCCGATGATACAAGATTCTGCGGGTTGATCGAAAAATTTTAATTATCAATTTAGAAAAAAAAAATTTAATTTAAAACTGTTAATTTCATTAATGACAAGTATATAAATTAATTACTAGAAAATTGTTAGTTTATCATTATTGAAATTGACTACTAAATATAAAAAACGTAAATTAATTTAAAATAAATATATATTTAATATTTATAATATCATTAAAAATTTATAATTTATTATATATAGGAAACTTGTGATTAATAAGTGAAAATTTCTAATGGTAATTAAGAAATATTGAAGATTATGGTTATTGACAATAATTATCGAATTAAGAAAAGAAGAACTGTTAAAAATAAAAATTGTGGAAGTGAGTTAAAGGAAGTTATAATGGACTATACAATCAAAGTAAATCATAGAATAATAATATTTCATTTGATAGAATTTTCATTTATCATATTTTTCACATATTTCCATATGTGAGCATATTTCAGAATCTTTTAACAGAGCACACTATATTTTTTGTTAGAAATTTCTCCTTTTATTATTTTTACATCTCATAAATTTTTAGGTCAATTTATTACATGATGAAAATGAGAAATTCTTTGTCATTTATTATTATTATTATTATGCATTTGTCTTATATGCTATTCTAAAAGAATTGCAGAAAACCTTGCAAATTTTTTGAGGTAGAATTACAAATATTTACAATTATAATCTTTTTCAGAATTTTTATGGATATAAATCCAGCAACAGGGAACAAAAGGGATATGGATCAAGAAAAAAAATCTTTTATTCCTGACTATATATGAATTGTAAGCGCGTCTACAAAAATTGAAAAATTTAATATATGGTTAATGTTTTCATAACTAAATTTAAATTTTTGCCAAACTGAGATTTTTTACTTGAAAATTATTAAGTATACTTCTGTAGTGTAAGTACGTTTACTATATGTAATTAAATATTTTAAAACCATATGATTCTAATTTATTTAATAATTTGTTTAATTCAAAGTATATATAACTATCTTAAATAATTTAACTATTTTTTTTTGTTAACTCTCTAAATCTGAATTACTAGTTTTCTACTAATGAATGAGTGCGCGTATTCGTTTACCAATTGAATTAGTAACAGTTTTGACTAATTTTTAGTAAAAAAACTACTAATTGCTAGTAGAAAACTACTAATTCATGGAGTAAGTCGTATTTTTTACTATTTCAAATTAGTAAGCCGATTTACTCCATGAATTAGTAGTTTTTTTACTAGCAAATAGTAGTTTTTTTTTACTAAAAATTAGTCAAAACTATCACTAATTCAATTGGTAAACGAATACGCGCACTCTTTTATTAGTAGAAAATTACTAATTCAAATTTAAAAAGAACCTATTAAATCAGTATAGTTTTACTAACTATAAATGACTAGAATAACTAATTAAATAGTAACAATATAACTAATTGAAATTAGCAAAAACCTTTTTACTATCTATATATATGTATATGTGGCTCTTCCAGTTTCCGTCCAGCTATAAGACCCAGTTTCCGTCCACTTTAATTTTGAAGATAACATTTATGAAAAAATTATTTTCTTTTATTTTTTTACTTCAACTAATAAGTCTATTGCATTTCCAAAAAAGAATAAAATATTGTTAAAAAATAATTTAAATTATTATATACGAGATATTTTTAAAATGGACGATAACTGGGACAACGACGCGAAAGAGTTAATAATATTTGTATATATATGTATATATCACTTATTTGTGCGTTAGGAAAAACATCTTATTATAAAATTTTTGTTTATACCTACGTAATGCCAGTATTGGCCAACTAATTAATTAATTTGTTCAATGTTTCGTGCTCATGCGCGTTGACCTCATGTGTGTGATATGAGTCACTTTGTGCGTTAGGAAAAACACCTTATTATAAAATTTTTATAAGCCACCCCGTTAATTTTGCTACTATTATACTTTGTGCTTTATTATTGTTCGAAACACATAATTTATTAATGAAAAATAAGTTTTTTAAAAGTTAAGTCCAGCGTTATCATGAACTCAGTGAAAGAAACACTTACATTTCACTGCGCCGCCGGATTATCTAGAAATTTAAATCCAAATATATTCCAATAAAAATGCAAGCATTACTTTTCGAGATTGATACTATGTATATAATTTTAATCTTTCTGGTTAAAAATTGACTTTTTTTTAGATTTAGCACTCACGGTGCGCCAGAAGGTGCTTTAAATAAAAATGAATTGGCACTTAAAAATTCTTTTTGATTATGATTCTTAGATGAATAACAAACATTTCTCGATAGTTTTTAAAATCAGTTTACGTGCCCGATTTAAATAAAATTGAGTTTTTATATAAAAACAGTATTTTATGGGGTATCAGAATTTATTTAATCTAATAACTACTGTAATAAATGATAAAATAATTACTTATTTTCAATTTTACATATAAATAATTATATTGCTATAGTGTGTTTGTGTCCGATTTTAAAAAATTGAATTATAATGTTAAAAGAACGATTTTAAGAGTGACAAAATTTATTTAAGAGAGTCGAATGGTCTCTGAAATTTTTTTGGCAAGAAGAGACATTTAATTATCGCTCTATAAAAGCGGCACTAAACGTGAAAATGATAAACATTGATTTTAAAATACTTTCTTCTCGAAAGACGGACACTTTTTACAAAAGCAGCTAGAGATCCTTATCTTATATAAATTTCCTAAATCCGAAAGATTATGCGAATCCATACAAAAACACGATTACAAAACGAAAAGTAATGTAATGAGGGGTTCATTACCTCCTGTCGCCGTCAGATGGCAGCAGCATGCAGGGCGCACAAAGTCGCAGCTGTTATTAGATTACTTTTCTACTTTTTGTTTTGCAATCATATTTTTCTATGGATTCGTACAGTCTTTTGGATTTAGGAAATTTATAAGATGAGGATTTTGGCTGATTTTGTTAAAAGTGTTCGCGTTTCGAGAAAAAAGTATTTTAAAATCAATACTATTTCACGTTCAGAGCGATAATTAAATCTCTCTTCTTGCCAAAGAATTTCAGATACCGTTCGACACTCTTAATGCATAAATATAAAAACGAAATAAGAAAATAACTTCATTGTTAATAAATTTACATGAACCCAAATCTAAAACATCTATTATCTATACGCATATATATATATACATATTAAATAAATTCTGGTTCCTCATAAAACACTATTTTTAAATATTTAAAACTCAATTTGTTTTAAATCGGGCACGTAAACTGATTTTAAAAACTATTGAGAAATGTTTGTTATTCATCTAAGAATAATAATCAAAAAGAATTTTTAAGTGCCAATTCATTTTTATTTAAACCTCCTTCTGGCGCACCGTGCACTATATGAAGTATAATTTAATTAGTTTTAGGATGAATTTCAAAATAATAATTGGATTAGAAAGCATATATTTTTAGGATTTATCTGATTCACGAACTTTTAAGATTATTAATTTCTTAATTTCATTGTTAATTCGCTCAGACTTTTTTTATCAAATTTTTTTTCACACGATATTTTTGTAATCGCTCAAGTTAATTCTCGAATTATATATGTTATTAATGTATCAGCAACAACAACAATTTTATTGACCAACAATTTTATATGAATAAAAATGAGTGTTGAGGAGTTATTATCATAAAAAAAATACCCGAAGCACACACACATATACATATATAAATATATATAATTCATATATATATTGGCTAAACTTGAAGACCAATTTGAAGTAGTGTCCCATTAAGAAAATGACACGCAATAATGCGACATTTCCGAGAATAAGGAACGCGTTTCACGATCATTCGCACGATTGTAACGACATAACGGAGCGACCCTCAAGCAGTTTCACGGTAACTGAAACCGAATCGCCTTGACTCACGAGAACGTCGCGTTAAGAAATACAGGGTTACAACTTTTAGTTTATATATATATATAAACCTTTATTTCGGCAAAATTTTAAGGGCTTTCGAAAGACATATTATTCAATGTTATAATTTTCCCCTTTCACTTTTTTTTAAAATTCTTTTGTTTCGTTTATTGACATACAATATTTTGCCATCACTTGAGATAAAAGAAAAAAATGTGTAATTTTTAAATATGAGAAAAAATTGAGTCAAAAGAAATATCTTTTAAAACAGTTAGTATATACAAATACATACATATTTATTTCTAAAAGAGAGAGATACCTGTGTTTGTCTATATACTTGGTTTCTGTTATTAAGTTCTCCTATACTATATATATAAGCTATTCTTCTATTATTACAGGAAGTTCCTTTATGCTGATGATCTTGAAACGTTTTCTTCGAGACAGGAGTTTTTTGTGGTCATAAAACGATGGAGGAAAATTGGTGGGCGTTTCTTTGAATATTTACTATCAGAGAGCACCTTTGACAGTTTGCAATATTTTCTTGTTTATTACCATTCATATAAGTGCAGACAATATCCGGGTTTTTGCGTAAAAATATTTCTGAATCTTGGAAGAATGTTAATATGTTGGGCGTTTTTTTTTTCTTGTAATTAAGAAATTCATGTCCTTCGCGCGGGTATTGGAGAATTATTACACAACGCGGGAGTAATAAAAAATAGAATATATATATGCTATAATTTTTTAATCTAATTGAAAACTTATATATATTAACTAACCTGTGTCGATGACTGTAAGGATCTATGAGTTGAACCACTCCATTTTCCTTGTCTAGATATATTATTCCTTTGATCGTGATAGGAGGAACGTTTTAACGGCAATGATGTATAATAAGGAAAACCCGATGTAAATGAATTCACTTTTCTCTGTTGAAAATCAAAATCAAAAAAATTATCCGTTCCAATTGTATTAAAAGCGCCACGATTCAATGATGATTGTTCATTTGAAAATGGTCTATAAAATTGTGAAAATCCAAATCCACTAGCGACGGGACGATATGTGGGATTAATTTGTGAATAACTGGGAAATTTATTATAATCAATAATTCCACTTGTTGGTGTCAATGTGGATTTAATTTCCTGATGTTGCAATTCATTATTTTGTTCACGATTAATTTCATTAGTTTTTATATAATTATCTTCGTCAAACACCTCAACTTTAACATTCACTTTATTTTGTAATTCATCATCATCTACTTCATTTTTCACTACTGTCACCAAATGATGACGGGAATTTGTTAAATTGTCTTCATTAATTGAATTTTTCTCAACACCTAAACTTGCCAGCTGCATTTTATTGATATATATGTCAAAAGACTGATATCATTGCTTTAAAATAATTCTCTCCATTAAAATTTACAGCATTAGGTATGGATAAAGGTTTCTGGAGCAATTTTCATTTCGTTTATTTTAAAATTATATAAACCTCATAAAATAGTACGGAGTGTATAAACGCACTTGTCTTTAAAACGAAAATCATCAAGGTTAATATATGATTTCGTGTGGGGTCGATAAAATAAAAAAAAAAAACAAAAAACAAGAGTTAAATCACTAAAACTATATATATAATATAAACAATAGAGAATCATCAGTATGACCGGAGATCCGAAGTACCGCTTCGGATCGGCTCGGGTTTTTCAGTCGATGGTGGGGATAGGTGGGAGGTGGGGGGGGGTGGCAAGGGCGGCGTGACAGTTTCCGTGTCACGTGTCTCCGACCTTAGGCCCCGCCTACGAATCCGATTTTCCCTCCGGAGGATCGTTACCTGGCCATACCACAATCCACTGGTGAAACGTCATTCGTCGCTGGCTCGTTGAATCGTAAGGACGAATGATATTATAACGCTCCTGATAATTCACACATATACACACACACACACACACAAACACGTATTTTCAGAAATTTTTTTTTCTCCACACTAAAACAAAAAACTATTCTATTTGCATTACACACACTAATTTTCAAAATTTTTATCTTCTTGACGTCACCAAGGGAGAGGGATTATTTTTCTATATACAAGGGAAATTGTAACAACAATCGATTGTTTGTTATCGACTGATGTCAATTGATTAAAAATAAAATGAGAAAAAGATTAATTGAACGCGAAATATATATATATATATATATATATATAATATGCTTTTTCATATTATAATGTATAAAGAAGCAGCCGGGCCCGGTTTAAGCTGATCGCGTACGAGTTTCATTCCACGCAGCGTGAAACTCTCGGTCGGAGGTGCACAGCCAGCGCCAAATAACGAGAAGCAACGAATCATACCGAACACACCCGACAGCATATTACCTTCGAGGATATCGCTCTATACACCGCCACTGTCGACCTTCCTTCCCGCCTTCCGCGCGCATGCCATTACACATACATATATATACACACACCAAATAGACTTGATATTTTACGAAAGAGAAAAAATCTAGTCCTAAAGTACATATATCGGAGCGTCTTGTAGGATTTCTTTTGATAGTTATTTGAAATATTATTATCATCATATTTCTCAAATCAAAGTGATGTCAAAATAATTACATGTAATATAAATAATTATAATTATAATCACACAAAAAAAACCGCTATATACCAGACAATAGATTTAAAAAAAAAAAACCCAAGACTCATACTTTCATCATTTACTATATATATACCAGATCCTAACGAAATCTTTACATTGAGTGCGTCTGATGATGACAAAATTGAATTTCAAAACACACCCTGGTTTAAAAATATTATTGATTGCGTAGGAAGAATTTTGCTTTAATGTGTAGTGTGAGAAGTGACGACAAGAGATGAAATTTTCAATCTTTTTTTTTACCTTTTTAATCTACTTCAATCCTAACTTAAACCTTTTGGTACTTTTTTCTTCCTTTTAACGCATGACTTTAACCCTTAACCGCATCCTTTGATTGTAAAATTTTAATTCTAAAATGAACATTATTAGACCTTATGATACTACTTGAAGTTTTTACTGTCAGGCTAATAAACTTTTCTGACTCTTTTTTCATCCTACTTGACACTATACATACATATATTCTTTTCAGAATATATATATACTCTCTCTTAATTTGAATCAGTGAAATTTCACTGGTGAAATAGCTAGAAGTCGCGGTTACTGAATCATTTACTGAAATTTTCACTGACAATCAGTCATATATCACTGATTTCCAGTGAAAATTTTACTAAATGAATCAGTCAATCTGTTTTACCCATTACCGATAATACAGATTGACTGATTCATTTAGTGAAATTTTCACTGGAAATCAGTGATATATGACTGATTTTCAGTGAAAATTTCACTAAATGATTCAGTAACCGCGACTTCTAGCTATTTCACCAGTGAAATTTCACTGATTCAAATTAAGAGAGTAGAGTTGATTTTAAATCTTTGAGGTTTCCAGAGTATTTAAAAAAAAAATAATAATAATCGCCGGAACCTTTTTTGAGAAAAATAAATTTTAATATTTTTTCATTGATAACACCGCAGCCTCATAAAAATAAAAGTATATATATATCATGTGCGAATGACCGAGTATCCTATATAGCCCGGCCCATACTTTTTTTTGGTAACATACAAATTTTTTTGAAAATTGCGGTTGGATTTACTATTAAAACTCGTTCCTCAGGATTTTTTGGGATTGCTGCATTTTTGAATATGAAGTCAAATTTTAAAAAATCGTCAGCCATATTGGATCAGCTATTTTGAATTTTTAAAATTTGACTTCATATTCGTAACCAGCAACCTCAAAAACCCCTGAGAAACCCCACTTCTATATTATAAACAATGACAGCAATAACCTTTTTTTTTATAAAATAGCAACTCGAAATGAAATATTTTGCTGTTATTAGTACATAACCTAAAAAATCCAATACTATACATTTATTTTTGTTTCGTTTTGAAATTATAATTTGTATACAAATTAAGATAGATATATCTATCTCTATCTTTATTAATTGCTGAATTCATTTTTAATTATAAAACACTTTTTATAATATAATGAAAAGAATTATTTACCTTAGAAAGCCAAAATATATATACTATATATATTGCGAAGGCAAAAAAAAAGGCATGTCAGATTCCCCGAAAAGTGCCCCCCTGGAGGTTCCAAAGAATTTTCGATGGGATTCCGACAGAGTTCCGACGGAATTAGGACTCTAAAAATTTTGAAAAAAATTAATCGTAACTCCGTCAGACTTATACGTCGGAGTTCCAAAGAATTTCCAATGAGATTCCGACGGAGTTCCCATTACTTTTTTTCAAAATTTTTAGAGTCCTAATTCCGTCGGAACTCCGTCGGAATCCCATCGGAAATTCTTTGGAACTCCGATGGAATTGCGACGGAATTACGTTGGAAGTTCTGGAGGAATTCTGATAGAACCAGCTCCAGGGCGCACTTTCCGGGGAATCTTTCCAAAGTGGGAGGTAATGTAATTAACAGAAAATCGTTATTAATTTTTTTCAAATTAATGTCTCCCTAAAAGATGATAAAGCTGGTGCATCAGATATACAATTCAAGAATTTTTCTTTATATATAATTTAAAGAAAAAGTGATTTTTTCTTTTTATTTTATTATATATATTTGAAAAGTGTGAAGAAGAGTGAAAGTATAAAAATTTTATATATATATATATAATAAGGTTTTTTTTCCTAATGCACAAAGTTCTCCTATATTACTTTGGTAATATAATTAACAGTAAATTGTTATTAATTTTATTCAATGCAATTAATATGTCACCCATAAAAATGAAACAGCTGATTCAAATACAATTGAAGAATTTTTCCTTAAGTATATATATATATATATATATATATATATATATATATATATATATATATATATAACATATATGAGAGATAGTATATATTTATTGTATATGAAAATAATACTTTAATTATATTAAAAATCATAAAATCAGTTAAGACATACCTTAAAAATGTTACATTTATTTTATGAAATAACTGTCTTTGATATCGTATTGTATCAAAAATTCTCATGTGAAAAGGAATTTTAAGGGCGCTCTTCTTTTCTCGTTAGACGCAGTTATATTTACTGGATGATATATATATATATATATATATATATATATATATATATATATATAAGTTGCTGTATTCATATATATTCTATATATAGGGTATATTATTTTATACACACATATGTATATATACCTATATAGGTATACGGTATACCCTTGTTGCGTCCGTTGTCGAGACAAAAGGAGATGAGCTATAGACGAGACAGAATAGGGTTCCGCGCGTCTCTTTCTTCCTTTCTCCTTACTTTTTTTCCTTCTTCTTCTCCTCTCGTGCACATCAGCTACGTCGATATCCTCTATATTACCGCGCGCAGAGGAGAGAATTGGCGCGTTGCGTATATAGGTATAAAGGTGCCTTTACGTATATATATACACACTTTATATATATATGTACTTTCGCAGCGGGATGACTGGTGAGAGAATTCAATTTCCGTCGTCGTTATCCGTGCCTCCATCTTCGGTTCGGACGAAGATCACCCGTCGTTTCATGTTTCCTCGCATACACACCCCTCTTGCATATATATATATATATATATATACCCGTGAAAAGCAAAAAGATAGAAGTCACTCTCTCACCAACTCAAAACCATATATATTTTGTTCCGGGGTTTTCGTTAAATAAATAAAAATATAATTTAATTAATAGAATTTAGAACAAAACAGCTAATTCGCTTTTTTTGGGTTTGCGAAGGTTTATTTCAATTTCAAAAGTGTGTTGCGAGCAATCATATAAACACCGTTATTTCAATATAAGAGAAATATAAATAGCCTCCTACAATTATATAGTGACACAATCTCAATCGGAAATTGCATGTAAATAAGACACGTTTCTAATTGTTCCTTAAACGGAAAAAATCGCGAAAAAGAAACACAAAACTTGTATATAATCAACTTTCGAGATTATTATACATATACATATATATGTGAATTGTGGGTCACACTGAAGATAGTGAGGCCAACGATAAGGGATCGACCCTCGACCGATTAAAATTCGTTTTGACTTAACGCTCTGGCGAATTTCAGCTTCATTACATAATCAAGTTTCTGCGCTGCCCAGCTGTCTGAATATAATAATAATAATAATAATATAGGGAGCAGGAATAACAAAATCCCTCAGGATTTACTAAACTAATTTCTAAGATCTATAATCTATCGATTTAATCTAATTAGAGATAAAAAATTAATATCAGAACGTCCGTTCTAATGTCGTCCTGGCAAATTGTCCAAGGACGCGACAGAAAAAGTGGGCGTGTGTCACCGATATGTTTGGGGACAGATACAAACCAATGGGAATTGAGAAGGCGTGGAACAGAATGTGGAGACACTCCGACGTTTTGTCCTTTCTCTGTCTCAATAGCGAGGGGGAGACTTCTCTGTCTCCGAATGTTGCGACGGAGGGGCAAAACAGAAGTGGGGAGAGTTGTGAAGGGGATGTAGGGGAAATGTCGCGAGGTGGGGAATAATGGACACGCCTACACGAAGTGTGGTGGGGAATAGTCGAACGCTGACAGCGCATACTGTGGCATCTGGTACAGATACGACGACATCCTCTACAACTTTGTGTATATATATATGTGTTCAGATCGTATACATGAATCTGCCCTTTCAAGTGTACTCGTGCGCACTTGTATCATAAATTTTCTTTCAATTGTCAGTGACAGGATGTGTTTGATGTAAAGCTAGGAGCTTGATGAGGAAAAAAAAACCCTGTCATTACTTGATTTGATATTCGGTTCAAGACAAAAGAAATGTGCCTCTTAGTCCTATGTGCCAGATGACGGCCGTGTACAGGTTTTCGAGAAATATGCGTGCAGGACAGTAATTAAGTCCATGAAGGTACTTGAAGAACAGGAACTCGTAGATCAGACACAAAAATAGCATTGCATGATTTTAGAAAACGAAAACTATATATTATTAGCACAAGGGATATAGTCGCGCACTTGTCTTGCGCGTCTGGTTTTTTTATGATCTTAAAAATAGGGCAAAAAACACATTTTATGTCCTCTTATGTAATCTA